ATCTATTTCATATTAAGTATGATTATTTTGAATGGGAAAAATTTATGCATATATGAGTTCACACAATGACAGTGATATGATTCCATGCCTCTCTCTTTCTACTTAATTATATTTTTGAAAACTGAAATGATTGCATAAGCAATGCATAATAGCCAAACAAAAAAATAATGTGGCATTTTAATTCCTATCAATACAAATTGGTGGTAGATTTGAGCTAAATGGGGGGGGGGGGGGAGTCAACAAAATTCCGTTCCAAGGTTTCTTTTCTCTAACTCTATGACCTTAGATAAATTTCTTTTTTATTCTGTAAGATGCAGGCACAATCTGCCCCCTACCTATCCTTTGGAGCTCCTGCAAGATTTATTAAATGATGGGGGAAAAAAAACTGTTTAGAGGTCTGATGAAACAGGAGTGACATAAATATAAGGTATTATTGTTATCCCCAAGAGGTGCATGACATTGAACTAACTTTTACGGCATCCATAGGAGTGAGGTTCATAATCTTAGACTTATTTTTTTACAGATAAGAGGGCTGAAGCCCTTCTCATAAAGCCACGTAGATTGGGTGTACGAGAAGAGGTATAGTCACCGGATTCAGACCTAGGCTGGTATTTGCTAAAACCTGAAAATACTTTAAAAGGAAGTTGTTGTCTTTGCTTTTAATCCCATCACCTCTTTGGCAGGTAACGAGAAAAGTCTGCATATTATTCTCCCCAGTTTTCTTTCTTTCGTTCTTCATGAAATTGATCTGAGATGCAAGACCCTTTGTCTTCTGGTATCCAAGGCAAAGCAAGTATTTTCAGAGCTATACAAGTACATTGTTCTGGTGATGAGACATAGTGTGACTTAGTGCAGCCAAGGTCAAGGTGTCCATCAGCTATGGCGAGAGCAAGGAAAAGGAAAACCAATGTGATGTTGCTGTAGTTCATGTAGTGAGGTTGTGTGTGCAGCAAACACACCAGGCTTGTCAACATTCCCTCCACCCTCCACCAAATAACAGCAAATGTCAATTGGAGAATACATTTTCCCTTCAGCCTAAACAAACTTGCTTACTTGTTCCCAAAATTGCTTGCTCAACATTACTGAAAATGATTCTAACTACTGTGCTTGGCACATAGTAAACCATCAATACACGTTGTCTGTGATGAGTTGGACTAGGAGTAGACATAGTGTTGCATCAAGTCAAGAACATATGAGGAATAAGATACCTGGATTGAGGTCTTGTCTCTTGTACTAACTGGCCTTGTGGCTCTGGGTAGTTTAATGTAATCTGTAAAGTGGTACTTGATGAGACAACAATATAGTACTCAGCTGACGTAAATTTTGTAAAACAAACAAACAAACAAAAAACTCCAAATGAGCTGATACATGTAAATGCTTGGCCTGGGTTCCAACATATGTGCATGTCTGATTTACAAAGGGTTAACTACTAGAAGTTGTGCAGGTAGGGTTGCTATGCCTGTGTTGCTCAGCCAACCAGTTTGCTTACTGAGTTCTTACAATGAACCAGACAATTAAGGAGGCATTGAAGGAAAAACAGATGAATAAGGGAGACAGCCTTTATGTACATGTAGCTTTGGGGGAGAGTATTAACAAACAAACAAACAAACACATTCAAATAAAATAATGGAAGGCTGTAACACGTGCTAAGAAGTAACTTGTAAAGGACTGACACACAAACAAAAGGAATTTCTTCTTGGGTAGGGAGTCAGAGAAAGTCGAAGGAAGTACATTTAAAGTGAAGGTCTGCAAGAAAGGAGGGCAGCTATGCGAAGTGGGAGTGGTGGTGAGCATTCCGGGGAAGTGGGACGGCGTGTGCAAAGGTCATGGGTTGGAAGGGACTCCCCAGAGGAGAGAGTGCTGCCGGATGTGGATGTGAGTGACGGAGGAGCAGGCAGGCCCTGATTGGCTATGGTGAGGGTGTGGGTTGTACTCTGTTTGCAATGGTAGGTCAGGGAAGGGTTTCCAATCGTGGAAAGAGCACTTTTGCTGCTTTGTAGGGGAAGGCAGCTGAACTTTATTGATCATGTACACAAATGAGCATGTGGTTTCAGATGTTTATAAATACAATATTCTCTCGCTTTCTCTCTCCACACACACACACACCATATATTAAATATTAACAAGGCCATTATTTTCTTCCTGCACACAATGAATTATCTTGTGGTGCCACTGAGTACTTGCATTCCACGTTGGCAATGACCTTTGTTGGGTTAAGTTGAAGGAAAGCAATTGTGGAGTAGAGAGAGTGGACAGGAGCTTCTTGTGCTAGTCCAGGTGAGGAAGGATGGTACCTAGACTCAGGGGTGGCCTATTGTTCACAATGAAAAGACCCCTCACTGGAATTACAGATCCATGTTCTCTACTGGCTTTAGGTATCAACTCTTTTCCTAATAAATGACCCATGCTTAATGCACTGTATTAACGAAACCCATTAGGATGTTTAGTGGGTTGTTGGAATGAAAACGCTTTGGAATAGACTAGCCCACTTTCCTCCATGATTAGCCTATTTCTTCAAGTCTTCTGAGAAAAAAAGGATGGTTGAAGTAATTTCTGGCACTTTCTCTTTCTGCTTGTTGACCAAAGTCATGGGGTTCAGAGCTGAAAGATACAAAATACATTTATTTTAAACAAGAAAACCAATACAACGATGATTGGAGCCAGTTTCTCATATCTGTGTCACCTTTTTCTCAAATGAATAATCAAAATCAGGCCATAAAAAAGTGCCTGCCCTCTGTGAATTCTCAGCAAATGGGCTGCAAATGGTTTCACGTTAAGAGGATCACTGTAATGGGTGTGTTTTAAAAGACAGGGCTTACAAACTCTTTGGGGAGGAAACGTCAGCTCTACTGGTACCAGTTCTTCTGGAAGAACTTACTTTTGAAACCAAACAATCTAAGTTTTGTAATAATAGATTAAGACCAGAAAATCAGAATCCACTAATTTCTTTTTTTTTTTTTTTCCCATTTCACTTTTCCCCGTCCTGTATTTGGATGGGAACTTATTTGGGTTCTGACTCTTCAGACTGGTTTTCCTCTCTTGGAGGAATTCTCATGCACTTCTGCAGGCTGGAAAGGAGGTTAGCAGGGCATAGAAAGAAGTCATTAAGCAAACAATCCTGCAAAGCTCTGAAAACCTTTCTTAGGAGAGAACAGCTGTCTCAGGCTTTGACAAAGAGCACGTGAAGTTTTGGGAGGAGGAAGGACCTCTGGCTTTCCTTTCCTCCATCTAAAAGCCACAACCTACCAGACAGTGTTCCTTTTACAGGAGGGTTCAGGTGTGGGTAGTGAAGGTGCTTTTGGAAGAACAGGCTGTGTCTGCTCTGTTCACAAAGAGGACACTCCTTTGTCCTTTTGAGTACACACATTTAATGGCTGAAGAGCCTGCCCTCCTTGGATTGGTCATAAGAACAATAATTTAAATTCATTTTTTGTAATACAACTCTGGGTTGGATTGATATAAGAGAAATTCCTCTTGGACAGCATCAAAAATGGTCATCATTAATTGAAGAATAATGATCAGCTTGTAACTTTCAAGTTGGTCCCATCGCAAACTCCGAATTCAGATTTTTCAGGAAGGTTACCTTTGCAAGTTTGAAAATGGGCAAAACGTGTAGTTAGAAATTGGAAATTGTACTGTTTTGTCATGGCATTCATTTATTCATTGAATAGTTTAATAGTTACCATGGGAAAGGAATTGCTATTAGGCACATGAGACTACAAAGAAATACGAAGGTATTTCAACGCTTAGAAGCAAACTTTCTATTTGAAAGAGGCTTGGATATGGAGAAAGTCTTTGTAGTTTTCAAAGCCCATTCACCTACTATAAATCTTCATCTGAACTTTTGAATAGTAGCAGGGGAGCTGGGCTGGGCAGACATAATCATACAATTAGAGAATTTTAGGAATGGAAGGAATTTTAAAGGTCTTTTAATGCAACCGCTTCACTTAGAGCAGAGGAAAGCTAGGGACTGCTCCTTGTCTGGGGTCCCACAGCAAACCAGTGACCAGCATCCGGCGCAGACTGACTTGCGAAGGAGTCTAAAGCCACGTGTTAGAAACTCCGGGTTAGGCACAGATGTCACAGATCAACAGAGCATCACGCCTCCTCTCCTGTATTTATTTACGTACAGGCACGTAATAGACTCAATAAATATGTATTGGATTAATGACTTACATGTCTTACCGTGTTGAGGGCACTGTGTCAAGCACTGAGGATAAAAGCAACATCAACTGGTCACTTCTTCCACGTTGCTCACAGTTTGCTCTTCCTGTCCTCAATGAGTTTGCAGTCTCGTAGGAAAGCCAAAATATACGCCCATACAATGCAGGGAAGACTGAGTTCCAACACAGTGCGTGCTTTTTGGAGGTCAAGAAAGGAATCTAGGCGTGATCATTGTTGGACACCCCACCCTCCCGCCCCCGCTCCTCATTTAATTACATCATTCTCCGCATAGTCTTTCCGGGATCTCCCCCAGGCCTGGCTCAGATTCTGCAAAGGGTAAGGTCGAGATGCCAACTCACGGAAACTAAGGGAAAAATCAGGAGCCCAACCATCCCCGCTTTCTAAACTGGAAATCACCAGGGTGGGGAGGAGGGAGAAAACAACCGCGGAGACTGATAGAACATAAAACAGGAATAGGAAGTCCCCGGCACTGTGACCACCCCGCGAGCTCCAGGCTGGCCGCCCCCACGGGAGGCGCGCGCGGGCTCCTGGAGGAGCCCGGCGGGGGCCGCGCGGGCGCAGAGCGGGCGGCTGAGAGCGGGCGGCGGCGGCAGCGCAGGGAGCCCACGGGGAGGGTCGGCGGCGTATCCAGTGCCCGCAGCAACCCGCACACAGCACAGCTCGCGAGCGGGACGCGGAGCCCGGAGCCCGGCAGCCCGCCCTCCCTCCCGCGTCGCCCGCCAGCGCGCCAGCGCCCGCTCCGCCCGTGACTTCAGTTCAGCTCCACCCCCGCGTGGCGGCGGCTCGCTTCGTCCGAACCCGTGCTCGGCACCAGCCCAGCCTGGGCGAGCGGCCGCCACCTGCCCGGCGCCGCCTCCACCCGCCCCGCCGCTGCCCAACTTGGATGGAGTTGCGGTCCTGAGCCCTTGTCTCCCACAGCCGGCCAGCGGAGAGCCCCGCGCGGCCACCTCCGGTCTGGGACCCCCTCCACTGCTCTCCGCCGCGATGGGAAAAGTTGGCGCCGGCGGTGGCTCCCCACCCGGGCTGAGCGCGCTCCTCGCCGGCGCTGGGCTCTTGGTCTTCTGCGCCCCGGGAGCCTGCGGCGGCGGCTCCTGCTGCCCCCAGCTGCACCCCAGCTCGGGCCCACGCTGGGTTCCGACCCCAGGGGGCTCCCTTCACCAGGGGCCGCGAGGCAGGGCTCCTGCCACGCCCACGCCCCTCCTTGGGCGCCCCCTGTTCACAGTGTCCCCCGGAGACCGAGCGCTGTCCCTGGAGCGGGCCCCGGGCACTGGGGCGTCCGTGGCGGTTGCTCCGCGCTCCGGCCGGAGGAGAAGGAGTGGAGCGGATCAGGAGAAGGCAGAGCAAGGTGAGGGCTCAAGTAGAAGCCCCCGAGGAGTCCTAAGGGATGGAGGGCAGCAGGAGCCCGGGACTGTGGAGCAGGACCCGGACAAAGCCACTCGCTTCCGGACGGAGGAGCTGAAACTGACCAGCACCACGTTCGCGCTGACCGGCGACTCTGCACATAACCAAGCTATGGTCCACTGGTCTGGCCACAACAGCAGCGTGAGTACGATGGGGCTGAGGGCAAAGGGGTGAACGACGGAAAGGGTTAAAGGCGGCTGTGTGATCTGATGGGGAATTTGGAGAAATTGGGTTTCTGGACTGGAAAAATGCTGCAAAGTACAGTCTTGCCTACTCACTTACTCCCCACCCCCACCTTCCGCCGGAGACGACCCCCACCCGCTTCCCACCAAAACCATCAGAGTCCTCCCCATACCCCAAACAAAGGTCTAAACGGAGCCCACAAATCCGTTTCCTGCCTCTCCGGTCGCATGGTGTAGTAGTATGGATCTGAAGACCAGAGGGAGTTAAATAAAGTATTCTGAATGTGGGGGTGAAAGGGTTAAATTTCCGGGCAGGCTGACATTCCCTCCAGGGACTTTCCCTTTACTTGCTAGACTAATGGATGAGCGAAAGTAAGATCAATAGGACTTTATTTGAGGAATTTTCTTTTATTTTTATGGAGAGCCCGTAGCCCCGTCTTCCCCACAGGGGAAGAGAAATGCAGTGGATACGGTGTTCTCTGTTTCTGAGGGCCCAGTGGGTGCAAGTTTCTGGGGGCCCAGTGGGTGCAAGTTTCTCCAGCATCTTCCCACAGCACCAGCCAGTGTGTTCTGAGAGCTGGGCTTTCCAGCCTGTGAATGAGCGGTTGTTCTCCGGCCTGATCAGTCCGGGGAGATCAGATACATCCCAGCGACAACACTGCCTGTTCTCTCCCACTGCCTGACCTCCTCTGGGGAAGAGAACAAATACAGACTTAGCCTCCCTTTAGGAGAGGAGGAGCGGGGTTGCGGGTTCTAGGAAGCTGACACTGGGTGAGTGAAAGTCCATGAGCACTGGCCAGGTCCCGGAAGGTTTTAGATTTTTGGGAAAGTCTGTCTGGAATCTGAGCTAGTGGTTGCAGTTTAAACTGCACCTGGAAACTTCAATGAGCTGAAATAGCAAAGAGACAGCTTTGGTGGTAACAACTGAAGAGGGCTTAAAAGTGTGCAAACTTCTCTAGGCTGCCATTGAGCAGACAAGAAGATCATAAAAACCAAGGATGGGTAAAATGAAATAATAAGTTGCAGCTTCCAGCAGGTTATTGAGATGGTAGTATTTGTAATTTGCACAATCTATGAGCCTGATACCTTTCAAAATGTTTGCCGTTGTGATGTAATTGCCAGAAACCTTCCCCGGAAACAGCCGCTTTAGTGAGTTGTGCTCATTGTCAGCTTTTTAATGAAAGTTGGGAACATTTTAAAATAATAGTCTGTCATTATGGAGTCCTTGGGTACCTACATATAAATGTTATTAAGGCAAATCATGATAAATCGCATTTTGTATTGATGTCTCTGTTCTGAGTGTCAGCAGGGTATTCCCTACAATTGAGACTTCATGACTGAGGCGGTGTTTTTTATATAGTTCTCGGGACTGGTTTAATCAAATAATTGAAGCTGAATCCTTTTCATTCAAGTTCTGGAGACCCTTGCCCTCATTCCTCACCTTAACTATCATATCTTTCATATCATAACCACTAAAATTAATTACCCAATTTGAACTTGAATCTCAAACTAATTGAATAACTTTCACACTGCTTTAAGTGATTAGCTCGAAGCTTCTGGCTTTAAGGGGAGATTTTAAACACATCAAACATATTAGATCTGTTGTATCAAGCAGTAAAGGACTTTGGACTCAAAATATCTCTGGCTTTTAGTGTAATTCAAGCTGTAAAATATCACTCACCCATTAGACCTCTACTTTACTTTGTCTGTTGAAAGATCTTGGAAAGAGCGAGAAAAGGAGAGTACATCTTTGGCAAATTTAAAACTCCATTTAAGAAGTGGCGCCAAGCACTGCCAGGCTTTTTTTTTTTTTTTTTTTTAATGGTGCTTCTAAGCCCAGTAGGGCTTCTTAGGGCCAGGCCTTGGATAGGAGACACAGGGAAGTCTGAGATAATGTAGGAAATAATCAAGGCGGTGTATGTAAAGGTTGAAGCACTCAAATGATGTTAACTAATGATATTTCTACTCTATTAAGTGTCTTATTCTTGTAAGAACACCTCTTCCCTCCCCTGCTCATTCCTGCCTGCTTACACACACAATGATCATGGTTTGTTTGGGTTTTTTTTGGAGTGTGTGTGTGTGTGTGTGTGTTTTGGTGTACGTGTACAGATGGTGGAGGAAGAGAAACAGTCTGTATCCAGGCCCTCTGAAACAAAGTTGGCTCAGATTCATAGGTGAGACAAAGTTTCAAATATTTGTTAAAGGGAAAAAAGGAAGAATGAAACTCTTTTTAGCCAGATGTCTGACATGAAAAGCAGAGTGGAGAGCTGAGTTCCAGTTCCGCTTATCTGCATTTTCCATAAGAGGGCGCTGTGATCGGGAAGTGCGGAACCTGTTTGGAACTCTGGTCTCAGCGCGTGCTGCCCAGAGCTAGAAATCCGCTGACCTGAACCTGAAGATAAGACAGGGATTCTCATTTGCTCACTTTTTTAAAAATATTTTTTTTTTCATTATTGATTTTAGAGAGAGAGATAGAAACATCGAAGAGAGAGAACATTGATTGACTACCTCTTGCATACCTCCCATTGGGGATTGGACCCACAACCTGGGCAGGTGCCCTGACTGGGAATCGAACCGGCGACCTCCTGGTGCATGGGTCGATGCTCAACCAGTGTGCCACACTGGCGGGGCTCATTTGTTCACATTTAGTGGTCTTCTCCTATAAATTCCCCCAATGCATTCAGGGCCCCAGGCAATACACATCTTAGGAACTCAGCTCACCTTTAGCTAAAAGCCTTTGTAAGTGGGGCTTCTGCATTAAAGGTGTACATACATGGTAATTATAGGCTGCCTTTCAAACTTGCAAGGAATTCTGGATGGTTTTCTCACCTCTTGCCTTTCTCCTTCTCGCCCCCTCCAGCTGCTGGACTTGTGCAGGTGGGAGTTGGGTCAAGACAGGACTGTTTCGCTTCTCGGTGGGTGGGATGTGATTCCTCTGTACTGCAGTCTAGCTGGATGGAAACTGTTCGTGAGAGTTGGTGGAACACCTTGGGGGATCTTTTGGCATGAAAGGTGGTGGGTATGAATCATTTGTCATGAGCTTGGTGTCATAAGCAAGAACATATTGTTGCTACCCTACTCATCCGAGGCATGCTGTGCCCTGATCTAAATTTATACAATATCTTCAGTTCGTTAAAATACATATTTATCTATGTATGCATATGTGATGGGCATGTGTTTATTCCTCATTTCCAAGGAATGTCAAAGTGCCCCTCTCATTAGTTCTTATCAAATCCTTGTTAGGTAATAGGTGGGTGGCAGGTGTTAATATCTCTTTCATATTTTTATGCTGGAGTCAATTTAAATATTTCAGTTCACCGCCATGTCCCTTTCTGACTGGAAATAGTGTTGTAAGATGTGTTAACAGAGGCTTTTACGTGACATTCGTGGCCCTTATAAAATCGTTCATTTATCATTGAGCGTGACAATCTGGTTGACTCCCATGTACCTGTTTCCGTCCGTTGTTCTGGACTTGACATTTACCATCCACCCTTAGAGAACAAACTGAGTTGAGGCGCATTTAGGTCAGGCTTTTGGGTAGATGCTTTCCATTCCCTGATCTCACTTCTCTTTCACAAAAAGGTGCTGTTCATGGCTGTTATTATTCCCATTACATAGACGTGGAAACTGAGGCTTTATTAGGCTAAAGGGCTTGCCAAGAGGATACAAAAGGGCAAAGCCAGGGACTGGCACCCAGAGTGATCTGACTCTGAAACCCCACCGGATGCCCTGTCTCAAAGACTTTAAGGTAGGACAGGAAAACTCAGACACTTTGGAGTCTGTTTTTGAAATAATCTTACCTTGGGTGACATTCAGATGATGGTGGAGGAGGCATCGTCTTAGCTGGAAGTTCCACGTACTTGTAGAAAAGCAGGGACTGTAAAATGCACCTGTCACATTGCACTCTTTGCCTTAAGGAGTGGTTTGGTTGTTCACTTATCCGCCCACCTCGTCATCTTTAGTGAGACGTGGAATCTGCAACCGGTGATTGACTGGGCAGGAGGTAATCTGCCATGGTTCAGCATTCTGCTCGGCTCCTCGGGAAGGGGTTCCTTTTCTGAGCTAATCACAGACCTGAACTTGTAGGCAGGTTGGAGATGAACACTTGATTTGGCTATACGTTTTGACCTAGGTGTTTTGTTTTGTTTTTTACCTGTTTTTAAAAGTAAAATGATAAAAGATTTTAGCTTTCTCTAGAAACCCACCTGACTCCTTCTCTGATCAGTGCCTTATGCTATGAGTGAATGTCACTGTGGTGTGACATGGACGGAGGTGGGCTTGGAAGCAGACGGATTGGAGTGTGACTGTTAGCTCTCCTGCTTACTGACATTTCGCCTTGAGCAAGACACTTCCATTCTTTGAACTTCCATTTCTTTAACTAAAATATGGGGCTGGCACATCTTTTGCAGACTTTATCTTGAAGAGTTGACGTATATATGAAGTGGCTACTACTTAGTAAGTGCTCGGTAAACACTAGTTCATAGGTTAGTTGAAGAAATACTTCTCTACTGGGAATGAAGAATCCTGGGGTATAGCCCTGACTGGAGCTGAGACTACGTGTGTTCAGAGCCTGCTAAAATTCTGTGGTCCCAACTTCCTCCTTTGTAAAATGGCACTGATAGACTAGGGAACCAGTGAAATCCCTGACAGGTTAAAGTTAATTTAACAGTTTGTTCCGCTGGTAGGTATTGTGCACCTCCTACCTTTAATTACGTGCAGCCGGAGGAGTGTTGAGGGTGCAGAAATGACACAGTGACCTACATATACCCTTGACCTGTCGGTGAGAAAGCCTTTTACTTCACACGATTCTTCCTTTTCCTATGGCTCATGTACATATCTATCCATAGGAAATCTAGTCCTTTGAGACCCAAACAGGCATTCATTTCTATGTGAATTTGCAGCAAAATAGTTTATTGGGTTTACTGTATCACACCTTTATATTAAGGAACTTGCTGTCTT